TTTACTTCTTAACCGTGCGAGCCGCTAGTATTCAATTCAACTATCACATGTATTAACATTTCTGTACAACACAATAACTAATACTCTTTATGTCTAGAATGTATATATATATTTTCTTAACATGATACTTGTATGTTTAAATAATTAAAATTTTATCAATTTAATGATTAAACATCCGTTATACATTTGCTTTCTATCTATTCTATATTGTTGAAGACAGCACTCAGACTATCATATACTGGGAACAGTAAGGGAAGATTTTATGATATGAGCCCAAGTTGTCGAGGTTTTTGTATATACTTTAAAGTTCAAAGAGAAAACTTACGGTGGCAACTGAGTGAATTTAAATTTGTTTCTTTTTATCTCGTGCACAGTTGTTTACTGAGTCAGCGCATAGATAATAAAGTGGTGCGCGCAAGTTATAGTTGTGTTGCCGAAGTCATTTAAGTGAATTGCACATGTTACAAGTCGTAGGCACACTTACTATGTGCATGTGCACGGGATACATTCGTAACGCTTACTGCATTTAATTCACACTTTAAGGCTTTAACAGAGCTGATATCCAGTTTTCCCCAAAAGACAGGTAATTTCTGGTTTGACACTAACATTACCTAAACGTGAAGAGATGGGGTTGAAAAATGTTATCCATCATTATGTACTCTTAGCGCGATGTTACATAAACAACATGTAGTTAGGTTGTTTGTGTTTGATAATTAGTCTTTTTTAGCTGAACACCCTCTTGCTCGAGATAGAACGAACCATTTGAGCAATAAGTTTATAGAGTACCTGAAAATCTACGCGTAAGTGAAAGAAAAGTGTCATTTATATTTTATTCTATTTTTAGTATATGAGCGGCCAAAATGATCACAATACCAAAACTGGGCCATACGTATTTAGAAATCTATTTAGGATTCATTGCATAGAGTTTTTTCAAAATAATTAGGGTAGATCTTCGTTTAAGCCCTGGATCAAGCTGATAAAATGAAAAAAAATCCAGTAAAAGGTTAATTTTTATACTGGTCTGGTTAAGGTTTAATGTGTAAATCTATTATTACTGATCATCTTAATTGAAGAAAAGAATTTTGACAAAAGCGTCACTATAATTATTGTGTTCCTTTCTTTGCATTATCTACTGCGTAGCCAGTATAATTACGAAAAGTTAATTCATTCAACATTTTGACGTGTCACAACAGTGGTTCGGAAAAATGCCCGGAAATCCGCGTACGCTCGGCGGTAGAATATTAATGTTTCTTTCATAAAGTTTAAAAAAATCGACTTATGGTATAATTAATAAATTTATAATTTTGAGTTGCAGCAAGTTACTACAAATATCAAAACGAAAGCAGTTTATTTGTTCCCCTCTAATGTTTGATACGATCTCGACATTCTGTGCGTTAGGTCACAAGCCGCGCATATCTGTCCTGGTATAAACAGAAACAGACGACTAAATTTCGTAGTTAAATTGTAAAAGAAGGTATCATCCGCTTTGGCAGAAAAGCTAACTTAATTTGATTTTCAGGGCAAAATGTTAAAACTTAATATTCATTTATGAAGGAGTCATTTTAAATTAAAATTTAGGCAGACGGTATTTGTTTTAATGTTATATGTGGCCATGTTACACAATGATTTAAGGATACGATTCAGATAGGATCAATTCTAAAACTTTATATTTCGTCATTGTTAATATCGCCTCATAGTTATATATAATATGTGGGAAATTTAAAACTGGGACTTGCAATGGCAGTTAATTTGAAAATTTAATTTTAGATTTTTTACGCAGAATACACGGCATTATAACAGCGGATGATACAACAATAATTCTATCTGTAACTAAAAATTGAATTCTTGTATTTTGATCACGATAATTTTTGTCTTTGTTTTGTTTAATGTGATTATTAATAACCATTGTTTGCGTTATCTCTTTGCGAAACAGCCAATTTTTTACATTTTGAAAATTTTAACCATACTTAAAAAATCTAGCCAAAACAACAATTATCTAAGTAACATCAACAATGAACATAAAACATCAAGGAACTAACTTGTTCCTGATGCTGAATTCATCTTCTCTCCTAATGACACCACACGCCTTGAGGCCCCCCAGTGCTCATACTTCATAGTCGTTTCTTTACTTAACACCAGGCGCCATCCACCAAATTCAGTTCGACGTAACACAATTTACAAGCCGAAGTCGGAAAAGTCTTAGCCACTAGGGTTACGGGGAACAGCTCATTTAAAACCTGAGTAGGACAGCTTCAGGGGTCTAGAAGTCATCTTAATCGGCCTAAGTGTCCTTATTGCTCTCAAGTGATGGCTCTCATCTCAATATCTAAAGCCCAGAGAAGATGACTTTTTATTAAGTATATGTAACACTAAGCAACGCACTACAACAAAGGTGGATATTTTAACCCCAGGGGCGATGACGTAACGTGTACATTTATGTAGATATCCCACGTAGCACGTGCTACATGCAAAATATGTAAGCTATGGAATTATAGTTGCATAAACGATGACTTAAATGGTTTATGTGTACACTTACTATATCAGTTAGGTGAACCCTTATGGGGGGCAAATAAATATTTTTTCATCCAATGAGCATGATTTATATATCCTTTGTTAATGACAACAAGGCGATGTTACATGTCACATATCTGCGATCGAGGTATTACTGTTTCTGAGAACACGTTTTTTTTAATGATCATATTTGAAGTTTATTTTGATCTTTTGCAACCTACTAATGCACAAGACTGAAACTGTTTATAGTTAACTTTATACCACTTTTTAGGACGACCTAAAAATCATGTCTGCATATTTGGTCAAGATCTATCAAGTGGTTTCGAAGGAGCTGTTGTTTTACGAAAATGTGGACATCGACAAAAGGCGGACACACTGTCATCACAATTTTAACTCACTTTTGAGCGCATTGTGCTACATTAATCTAAAACAACAAGCTCATTTCATCCAGAACAATGCTACCAGCAGCAGATAAATGACGCATTAAAATTTCAAAAAGTGGAGGAATAAGACGGACAGTATCGTTGGGGAATGGTTAGTATAATCGTGATCGGGTGATTTCATATTTACCTGTTATTTGATCAAAAGACATTTGTAATTTTATTAATTTTTTTTTTGAAACAAAATAACGACTTTCACTCTTTAAATTCCTATCAACGCTTTCGTATTGGCAAAAGTACGTACATTGACCTTCCTTTTCTGCATTTGCCCTGTTTCCCTCTTATTGACATTGGTTATCTTATATTAGCATTGTGATAAAATATGCTGGCTAGAATTAGTATATGGTAACACAACAATGTTTAACATTTTTTTCACAACTAATGCTTTCAGGGAAAACAAATTGAATTAAATACGAGAAATGTCGAACAACACATGCCCCCCCCTTTCAGCCCTTGACTGATATTATTTTTGTTATGAAACGTGCTATACATGGATACATGGAAGTATTATGTAATGGAAAAGAAAAAATATGACAAATATATGACCTGAAACTGAAAGAAGGCTGTCATTGTTGGAGGGGAGCTGGAATAAAATATGTATTATCATATAAAATGTAACAATTCTGACATTTAAAAACCCTGTGACCTTGACATTTGACCCAAAATCAATAAGGGTCATCATCTGGCCAATCAATATTTTGAAATATGAAGAGTTTGTGATAAATAGTTTTTAAGATATTGAGCCGAAACCATTCTGACATTAAATGCACATATGACCTTGATCTTTGACCATGTGACCACAAAGTCAATAGGGGTGATCTGTTAGTAATGACCAATCAGTATGTGAAATATGAAGACTTTGTGATATATAGTTTTTAAGATAACCAGCGGAAACCATTCTGATATTTAAGGCCCCTATGACCTTGACCTTTGACCTAGTAACCCCAAAAATTAATAGGCATCATTAACTTGTTATGGCTAATCAGTATGTGAAACATGAAGACTTTGTGATGAATAGTTTTCAAGATAATCAGCGGAAACCATTCTTACATACAGCGCCCCTGTGACCTTAACCTTTGACCTAGTGACCCCAACATCAATAGGGGTCATTTTCTAGTTAGGACCGATCAGTAAGTGAAACATGAAATTTTGTGATGAAAAGTATTCTATGTAATCAGCGGAAAACATTCTGACATTCAAGGTCCCTGTGACCTGGACCTTATAGCCCCAAAATTAATAAGGGGTCATTTACTAGTTATGACCAATAACTTTATGAAAAAGGAAGACTTTGTGATTGAAAGCTTTCAAGATAATCAGCAGAAACCATTCTAACATTTAAGGCCACTGTGACCTTGACCTTCGACATAATGACCCCAAAATCAATAGGGGTCATCTACTAGTTATGACCAATCAGTATGTGATATATAAAGACATTGTTTTCAAGATAGTCAGCGGAATATTAAGGTCAATTTGACTTTGACCTTTGACTTAAGTGACCCACAGGGGTGATGTACTAGTTATCCCTAATCAGAATGTGAAATACAAAATACATTTGGTGATATATAGTTTTCTAGATTATCAGCGGAAACATTGTGGTCTAGAGACACACCCCACCGAATCGACCGACCGACCGACATAAGCAAAACAAAATACCCCCTCTTCTTTCGAAGGGGGGCATACAAAATACTTATGATCAACAATTATGGCGTTTCAGTATTACAAAAGTGTCTATTACGATGTAGTCACTTAGAGTACAATATGAATTTGATAATTATGAACGTTTTTGACAACGAGGCTAGTGATATATTAACTGAATTTGAAATAGATTATAATTTTGGGGGTTAAAAGCGATGCTAGATGGCATAAAATATGAATTGATACAGAGAATAATAAGAATTGGATCAAATAATGAATTGATGATATTAGAACATTTGTATGGTGCAAAACTGAAGTATCAATGGTTATATGTTGTAAGGGGTGAAGTACAAAGAATACGTTTAGTAAATATATACAGAAAACAAATTAAGTTATGTGAGTAATATCACTTACTTTGTTTAGAATCAATATATTCCTTTTTTTTCTCGTCTTTATTTGCTGTTTTAAGTCTCTTGCATAACGTCTCTCCTAATCCAGCCAGGTCTGCTCGTTCTTTTTCTCCTTGTTCATGAATTTTCCCAACTTCTTTGTCCCGTTCTTCATGCATTCTTTTAACAGAAGCATCAGCTTCATCTTTTAATTGTGACTGAAGAGATAGAAGATCTTCTTGTTTTCTTTTTATCATATCTAGTTTAATTCTGTCATATTGCTCGTCTAATCCAGCCTTCATCTTGTCTTGAATTGCCTTTGCCACATCGTCTAGTACTTTTCTTACATCATCTTTACCAATGACTAAAGTGTCATTTTCTAACTGTAATTATAAATACAATACAAATATACAATATAAAATTTGAAAAAGGTAAATAAATAAACAAGAGGGCCATGATGGCCCTGAGGTCGCTCACCTGTATATAGGCCCACCCCCCCCCCACCCCCGGGCCAATTTTTACCCAAGGGCTTTTATTTGTTTATTTGAACAGACTTGGTAGACACCCATAAGAAGATGTTTCATGCTTAACATCTAAGTTCTAGCTCATTGGGTTTTTTAAAAGAAGATTTTTTAAGGTTTTTACTATACACATATAGTTAAAAAACAATGACACCCCTGGGGCAGGGCCAGTTTTTGACCCCCGGGCTTTTATTTGAAACAAACTTTGTAGATATTTACTTAAAGATGTTTCATGCTTAATATCTAAACTCTAGCTATTTGGGTTTTTTCAAAGAAGATTTTTAATTTTTGCTATACACATATAAGGAAAATCAATGACCCCCCCCCGGGCGGGCCAGTTTTGACCCCAGGGCTTTTATTTGAACATACTTGGTAGACACCCATCATAGAACATGTTTCATGCTAAATATCTTAGCTCTAGCTCTTTGAAGTTCTTTAAAAGAAGATTTTTTTAAGTTTTTTACTATATGCATATAGGGAAAATCAATGACACACCCTGGGGCGGGGCCAATTTTGACCCCAGGGCTTTTATTTGAACAAACTTAGTAAAACACTCATTAGAAGATGTTTCATGCTAAAATATCTTAGCTCTAGCTCTTTGGGTTCTTTAAAAGAAGATTTTTTAAGTTTTTACTATATGCATATAGGGAAAATCTATGACCCCCTGGAGCAGGGTCAATTATGACCCCAGGGCTTTTATTTGAACAAAATTGGTAAACATTCACTAGAAGATGTTTCATGCCAAATATCTAAGCTCTAGCTCTTATGGTTCTTTAAAAGAAGATTTTTTAAGTTTTTACTATATGCATATAGGGAAAATCAACCTGTACGAAAAATCAGCATGGCTTTTATGAAAAACAGGACCGATTCAGGCCTGTTTTGAACCAGAATTGGCAAAATCAGGGTGAAATAGACATGGACCCTGAATTTTCAAGAAATCTCACATGGGAATTCAAGTTTTTTCTACCCTGACATCGTCTTCATCTTGGTAAAAGTCAGGGTGGAAGCAAGAATATTTGCACTTTGAAAATATTTTGACACGGATTTTACTGACTTGGAGAAATATAAGCGAAATCTACCCAGATATTTCAAAGTTAAAAAATTTTCAAGAACCAGTTTCAATACAGTCTTAAAAGTTCTTCATTTCCAGCCTGATTTTTCTTAGTTAGAGTTATTAGAAATGAAATATTGTAATACACTCATAGTACAGTTTACATTGCTGTTCAGACAAAATTGAATTTTTAATTCAGAAGAAAATATATTATAATGTCTATTTCAGGAAAGTTTCAATTGATTTATGGTAAACTCTATTTAACAAAAATTCTTTTCATTTACTGAATTCTTCTTTTTTTTCTTTTTTTTTTTGAAATTATGTAGATTATTTAGCTCAACATGATTTATTTTTATCTATAAAATTGATAATTGTTTCTAGTAATTGATTGTATTTATATTTAACCTATGTCAAACAATTTATTATTTAATGCATAAATTGGTCAGCAATAGTAATGTACAAGATTTTTAGTTTGTATCCATCATCTCACAATCTGTACAGAATCTCCTACTTCTAAGGTCAGCTTTCAGTTTATATAAACAAATAACCTTCAAGTGGAACTTTTTACAGTATTTCAAAATACTTTATGTTAAACTGGACAAAAAAGTAACCTCTCCTATAATTGTTAAGTTTAACAAATTCAAAGATAAAGATCTAATTCTACAAAATACTGCCAAGTCCGAAAGTCCAAATCACTCAGCAGCGATCAACTAGATTATGACGATATTCGAGTATCTGAAGACTTTACATCGCATACTAGGAAAATCAGGTCCAAACTTATTCCGTATATTGACATCTTCAAGAAGCAGAACAAAAGATCGTTTATTAGATATGATTTAAGCTGATTGTGGACGGTGTACCTTATATCTTTGACTTTGACAAGGATGATATTGTTCCCGAGAAATAGGACAGTGGCCAAGGTCTGAATAATAAACTGCCAACATTTGAATATTGGAGCATGATGTTACAAATTCTGGTTTTGACGTAAATTTTCATGCTATGAAATAGGTGTGTGGAATATATTTCTGGTTTATCATCAAAAATTGTCTGGAAGAAACGATATTTGTGATTCAACAGATTTTTGTTGATTATATTAAGTCATTTAGCATTATGGTTTTGTAGAAACTTTGGGCTAAGAATTATTGGTGAGTTTCAATTAACTGGGTATACATGTTTTGATGTTATTAGACCATTAACTAAAAATGCAAAGCGAAATTCAGGTGGAATATCTGTTTTTGTAAAAAATATTATATTTCAGTATGCAGAAATTAGACAATTAAAGATCCTCTAGTCACAATATTTTATGGCTACTTGTTAAATCTAAAGTTAATATTTTTCATAATATGCTATTAGGTTTTGTTTATATTTCTCCAGAAAATTCGTCCATACATTCGAAATGAGGCATTGTTTGATATCATTGAAAACGAGCTTGCTATTTTCAAAAGTGACTATCCGGGTCAATTCCATTTTTGTTTTAGGTGATTTTAATGCATATACATCCGAAAACCCTGATTATATTGCTATGGATGGTGAATTTCCATTGTTAAGTGATACTTTTTATATTGAAGATACTATTCCGCCACTAGAGCTAATTCTGATGGTAAATCTATAAATAATTACGGCCAAAAATTGCTTCAGCTTTGTATTGCTACTGGGCTTCGTATATGTAATGGCAGAATCGGTAACGATGCTGGCAAAGGTTGTTGTACTTGTTATACTGATTATTCTCCTAGTCTTATTGATTATATTTTGTCTGATATGTCATTATCTGATTATGTCTTAGATTTTGATGTTGAAAACCGAATTGAATCTATACACATGCCCGTCTACATTAAAATTAAGAGCTCAACACAATTAGAAGATAGTCTTTCTGAACAAGTATTTAGTAACGTATCTGAAAACCTATATACTAAACTGAAATGGGATGAAAATAATAAACAAAAATACATTGAAAAGTTAATTATAGGTATTGACTCTATGTATGACTATTTTTAATACTGCTTTAGATAATAATGATATACATCTAGCTATACAGAGACTAACAGATTGCTTTTACAATGCTGGATCAAACATAAATAGAAACAATGGTGTTTAATAATCTTAATACAAAAACCAAAAAATGTCAAAAATGGTATAATTCTACTTGTAAACGACTTTCGTACCAAATGTTTCTTCAGAGGTTAAGAGGAATTTCGTAGATCACGCAACTGATAACGCTTTAAACAACTACAAATTAGCTAAATCCGAATATCGAGAAACATGTCGTTATGTTTAAGCTAAGATATGAAGCTAATGAACGATCAAAACTTGTCGCTGCTTGCCAATTGTAATAACCCAAAATATTTTTTTGGAATTATTTTAAAGACAAACACAGGGCTTAATCGTGTTAATATAACAACTGAAAGAGTGGTATAATTATTTTAAATAGTTTATTTTAATCCCGTTTTTAACAGTGGAGTTTGATGATACCACAAACGACAGTGTAATATTTTAATGATATTCTTGATTCCGCCAATCCTCTCCTCTGAGGTCAGCTGGGCAATAGGTCAACTCAAATTAGGCAAATCAGCTGGTATTGATGGCATTACAGCTATGTTTATTAAAGCAGCCTCTGGACAGACTTATCCCGATTTTTATGTTTGTTATATAATAAAGCTATACGATAACGGTGAATTTCCCAACAAATCTGGTCAATTTCACTTATCACACCTGTACTTAAAAAGGGTAACCAAACGATCCAAGCAATTATTGTGGAATCAGCTTACTACCTGTACTGAGTAAAATATTTACATCCATTTTAAATAGAAGGCTTGAGAAAATGGTGTGGTGCAAACTCTGTATTAGAGTGAAGAACAAGGTGGGTTTAGGAGTGGTTATAACACTATAGATAATATATTTTGCCTGTGCACCTTTATAACCAAGTATCTACAAAAACCTCAAGGCCGTTTTTATACTTTATTCGTTGATTTTTGAAAAAGCATTTGACCGAATTAATAGACAGGCTCTATACAATAAACTATGCTCAAATAATGTTAGTTCAAAGTTTTTAAAAATGATCAAATCGTTATATCATGATATTAAAGCAAGAGTTAAATCCCCATCTGGACTAACAGAAAGTTTTGAATGCCCGTTTGGTGTCAGGCAGGGGTGTACGCTATCACCATTACTATTTTCTCTATTCTTAAATGACCTTAATAATTATGTTAGTGATGGTTGCCATGGTGTCTCATTAGAGCTTAAACAAATATTCACTTTACTTTACGCCGACGATTTAGTTCTAATTGCCGAAACAAAAATAGAGCTTCAGAGAATGATTAATCGGTTAAAGTCGTACTGTGATAATTGGAATCTAAAAATTAATCTCGATAAAACAAAGGTCATTGTCTTCAGGAATGGTGGTTACCTGCGTGCTTATGAAAAATGGTTCTATGGCGTAGAAAAAATACAAGTAACGTCTTACTATAAATATTTAGGAATAGTGTTTTCGTCTAGATTATCATGGTATATGTGTCAAAAAACATTATCTGAACAAGCAAATAAAGCTATTTTTTCACTTAAAACTAATTTATACAGATTCGGACAACTTCCTGTATCTCTATTGTTCAAAATTTTGACACAAAAATACAACCTATATTGACATATGGCTCTGAAATTTGGTTTTCTTATGAAGCTAAAGATATTGATATCGTACATAACAAGTTTTGTAAATATGCATTGAAATTAAAACTGGTCAACTCCTAATAAGTATGTATATGGAGAGTTGGGCCGTTTTTCACTATATTGTAACAGAGTTCTTAAAGCAATCAAATAC